AAAACTCCGATCACAAGGATCACCTCCGACTATATCCCTCTTATATTTTAAAGCTTAGAGCTAATTTTCGAGTTTTCCTTTTTTTTTTATACATCAGTACCTGTGGCGTTGCAGTTGAAATTTAGGCGGTCATTAAATACCATTGAACGAATGGGTCGTAAGGTAGCTAATACAGGATAGCGACTCGCCACTCGAGTTGAAAGGATTATTGGCTACAAGCTCTATAAATAGAAAAGGATTACAATGGCATTCGAAAAACTTTCATGAAATTGAAGAGCTACAGTCTACGAAGTGTTTAGCGCGTCTTTAAACCAAAAGCAGCTGAACAACAATAAGGTGTTCCCGTCATCGCAGACAACACCGCTTCTAATGGATACACCGATTGGTTTTTGCACCAGCATTGCAATGAAAAAAAGAAAAAATGAAAACGAGAAATTAAACCGACAAAGTGAATACAGTGGTTCTTTTCTACGTTGGTGTCACCTGTAAGCAGGTGTCCTATACATTTTCATGGAATTTTGCCGCTTTAAAATTTTTTCACACTTCCCTTAAGTTCCACTTTTGCACAAGGAATTGGATTTCTCTAAACGACATTTTAAAAGGAAGTCCTTACATGGATGACTTCATAAACTTACAATAACCGAAATTAAAAATGTAGTCTACACTGTGATACCAATAAAAAGTTAGCGCTTAGAGGACAAACACAAGACAATCAAACAGATTTTGACGCGAGTGGACAGGATGGCAGACCTAATTAATCTGGAACATAATTTGAAGCGGGCTTCTGATTGGACCGGATCTAAAACCGTTGACAAACAGATGATACTTCTTTAGTGAGGAAATATCCTGGATTTTTTGTTTAACATAAACTCAAATAGCGTGAAAGTAGAAGTCGCCCTGACTTGCTGTCCAAACGCTTAGCAATATGCGAGGTGACAGCGATCTTTGTGAAGGATAGTGGAGCGATTATCAAAACCCTGTCCCTTAATTTCGCCTTTTTTTCTCGGCCTTTCATTTGAATAACTAATAAATCAGTAGTCATGCTGAAGGATATCGACGGCTGTTCGCATCCTTTTCTTCCCTACTTTTCTTTTTAAGTACCGAATGAATGTGGGTTTTTTGCAAAAGAGACTGTCAAAGTGTACTTTTCAGTCAAAACTTCCTGGGGTCTGAGATGAAAGATCTCTTGTCTGAAAAAAAACTATTATGCCACCACCTTTGCTTCCAAAAATATATCATCATTTTATCATTTTATCTGCAACTTTATCTGAAATTTTTATACTTTCTTGTTTACCTATATTTTCTGCTTAGTCATCTTTAAAGCAACAATAATGTCTGGAATAGATGAATTGTACCGTCATTTACCTAGGCTGTCACTCATCTCTGACGTTTTCTTTCTAGAGCAGAGAGGCTTAATGAACATAAAACAAAAGATACCTGAATTAATTTTATTTAAATTGTTTTCGCTAGCAAATGCAAGAAATTGAACTTTCATTTTAAAAGCAAAGATCACATATTTGATCGAGAGTGAGGGCTTGGTTTCGTTTACGATACAAAAGGTAAAATTTAAAAATTACTCTTTTATATTATAAATGGAATCTCGTTTTCACATTGGTTTGATTTTGTAGAATTATTCATAGAATTTTGATTTCTTGTATCAAATTTAAACATGGTTTGGACTGCAAATAATCAAAATTTGGTGTTGAAAATAATCTTTAGTCTAAGGGATTAAGTTCGAAGAGCAATAACAAAACGAAATATGATACTCATCGGACAAAAAATTCAGCTAACATTTCACGAATCCCGTGGTTTTTTCTCGATTTATTTTAACCGATTGTTATGGCCGATAAATGCAAGTTTTAAAGATTTATATTTGAAGAATAAGAAGGTACAGAGCAAAGTGAAAAGATCAGCATTGGAACCTTTATGTAATTCAATATTAGAAACTCTAAAATTTACATAATATATTAAAAACTATTTTAAAGCCTATGTGTAAAAGAAAAGAACGCGGATCCTTTTATCTGTGTATTCAACATTTCCAGTGAGTGCAGTCAACACTTCCAGTGAGTGCACCTGTCTGAGCAAAAAAAATAGTATCGAAAATTTATTTGTAAATTTCGAGTATCTTTTTTTGTCGCCTTCAGAGGAAAGTGTCATCAAAACCCTTACTACAAAAATGAATGATTCACCGGTGTTGCATATAATATTCTAAACTACTCTTACCACTCCTGAATAAACATGAATGTCAGGGCTAAAATCGAGGAAATATTTTTTTAAGGAGAGTTTTTGTTGATCTATATATCATGGAACATGTAGAAAGCTGTCCATAAGATTTATTTCAACAACGGAAGGCCTACAAATTTTAGCTCGTTAAGCATGCCATGCAAAATATCCTTGTAACAGTCAAACTGCGTGAACTGGTTTTCCTTGCCATCTATTGTTATTTAGGCCAGCGAGACTACCTTTATTTTTTGTACTTATAATTCAAGGTAAAATGTTATTAATTCAGAGTGCAAGTAAGGATACTTCAAGTAAAAAGTTTTTGTTCTCAGATTATTACGGAGAAATTTCACGATCTTTTGTTATTACGATAGGCAGTTTATGAGTGTAGCGTAAATTTACACGCCATAGATTGTGAAGTATAATTGTTCAGGTTAGGTTCGTCTTGAAAATGGCGTGGTTATTGACAGAGACTAAGGGTAATTTAGGCGACCAAAACGCTCTACCTGATCTCACATAGCCCATTCTTAGCCATTCGAAATCCAAATATTTAGGGACCGATATCTAAGCAAATTTTTCTCCAGTAGTTCAAATCGAGGTAGAGAAAATTTTAGAGCGGTCTCTCTCTTCGAATACAAATTATTTTGCCTGTCAGTGTCGAGAAAAAAGAGTGTATGAGCAGGTGCTTCCCAAAACGTGTGCATATTCTGTACGAACCCTTAAACAGATAGAAAAGGCACAATCACATTCATCATGCTAAAGAAGATTCTTTTATTAGATATAAAATTTTGCCAAATCCACAACGGTATTTTTAGCTGGGCTTCCCACGCGTCCGTGCGACCACGCCTGAGTGGCACACCGCACTGGTGAAATTTACGACTTTACAAGCTAAAAATTCATTTCGGTTTTCAGAGCTCAAATTTCTAAAAGCTAAGTATCTATATCTCGTGATATTTCATTCATTCCGTGTGAACCGAACCCCAATGCATGCGAATTTTTCACCCATAGAAATCTGTTTATTACCATGTATACGTCAATAATGTAATAAAGTCGTTAAAATATGAACAATGTCAAGTGAGTTACTCTCTTCCGAACGAATTCTACCAGCAATTACTTCTACCCAATATCATCGCTTAAAGAAAGGTCGTTGCTCGTATTATCCCATAAGCAGAGCTTATGAAACATGACAATAATGTTGATTTTCAGCCAATTGGCTTTCTAATTTTTCCTTCAGATGGAAAAAAATATATACATACTTCACGTGCGAAGCAAAATTCTGGAATCTCGTCGGCTGAAAGGAGTTGTTAACAGCGTTTTTTCCGTACGTGACCTCTCCTTCCCTTTCTCGTATTTTCTAGTCCGTCATATTACCTCAGCGTTAATTTCCCTTTAAAAGCTTTTAGGATTTGACTTAACATTGCGATTTTTTCCGCCACTGCTGTCGTTTTACCTTTTTATGATTGTCGCTATTGCAATGGAAAGGGCTCACTTAGCATACTAATGAGTTTAAAGACTTCTAGTTCGTGATTTAATAGACATGCAGGCTATAGTATTTGAATCACATGTTTTTCAATCAAATGGCTCTCCAAAATTCAAATGAAACATTAAATGCGATCGTGGAAATGCACCTTTCATGATTGTCGCTATTGCAATGGAAAGGGCTTACTTAGCATACTAATAAGATTAAAGACTTTCAGTACGTGATTTTACAGTCATGCAAGCAATAGTATTTGAATCACCTGTTTGTCAATCAAATGGCTTACCAAAATTCGAATGAAACATTAAATGCGATCGATGAAATCAATTTATCTCAAGGGGTTCGGTCTTCAGCAAATGTTTGCCGTCAGCAGTACATTCAACTGAATGACGCCCTAAGGTAAACAGACTTTTTAGGGAGTTAAGTGATGCGGATTAGTCACGTATTTCATCGAACAAATTTTTTTATTTAAAAATAAACCACGAGTTATGCCTCCACGAGACTAAACAGGACATGCTTTAAGGTTTCATTATCAAGAAAAAAAAAAGACGAAGCAGGGGGAGAAATCTGATTACCACAAAAGGAAACTGAACTCGAAATATCAAATAAGAAGAAAAAAACAGTATAACTATTGAAAAGGTGGTATTACCGTCGATGCACGTTGCTCATTATTCATGATCTCGTTCTCCAAATGGATTGTAAATGACTGTGATTTCTGTTTTATTGCATATCCAAGAATACTTTTTCAGTTTCCTGCGGAAATCGTTTGTCCTTCGAGAAGTTACAACCATGGTTGAATTAAGGGGAAAAACATCGAAATAACTGATAATTGGTCGCCCTAAAGCTTTACGTGCGTCGGAAGAAAATCCTTTTAAGGTCTTCTTCTGATCACCCGAGAGAACATATATATCCTAAAGCTCTTAAGACTGATACTTTGGAGTTTACGTTTTATTCTTGAAAGCAAGGCAACTTTACATTCGAAGTTGACTAAAATTTGGAAATTTTGGTTTAAAAGAAGACAGCAAGTTGCAAACGCCCCTAAGGTCGAACTTCTAACCTATTTCTACAACATTTGGGCTTTATTCGTTTGAAATGCGAACAGGGTGCATTTTCTCAAAGGTTTATATAAGATAATTTGTTAATATCACTCACTTTCTTCTCGTTTATGGTTTCTCCACTGACAGGAAATTCATTACATGAATTGCAAAGGAAAGAATGGACCAAATGGAAGCCACAGAGTAAGCTGAAGGAGTAGTTGGAAGTTCTAAGTGCGAGAAGGTTCGTTACAAGACGTGTGTAAATCATGACCTCCAATCTTACTGACATCAGGAAATCGGTATCAAATAGTACTGAACCACAATCTGCTTGCCTTCAGATTGCGGAGTATACCATTTTCACTGCCATTTTTCTTATCAGTGTGGCAGGCAATATTCTTGTCTGCCTGGTGATCTTAAAAACGCCGCGCATGCGCACTACGAGAAACTACCTATTGGTCAATTTAGCTGTGTCTGATTTAACCATGTCACTTCTGTGCATACCATTTGATGTCGCACTGAAGATAACATCTCCCCTCTGGCCTTTGGGTTCCACCATGTGTAACATACTGTGGCCCGCCATGACTTTGGTAACAAACTGCTCTGCCGCAACACTGGCTGCCATAAGTTTAGACAGGTAGGGATTAGAATTAAATAGCACATGGTAGGCATCATCTTATTGGTTTTCCAGACAGATGTTTTATCAAGCTCTATGTTTGAACTCAGTTACACGTGTGATTTTTCTTGATTATAAGATATCTAGCTCCACGAGAGGGCAAGCCTTTAGTGAATTATGAATCTCTAGCTTCCAGCCTTCGTAATTTGAAACCTCTGGAATATACTTTGTCTGTGACAAGTAAAGAGCTTATTTGCCTCATTAATGAAACGTTAGATGGCCCCTGTTTGGCTTCTTTTTTTTTTTTTCAATCGAAGTCATCTCGCCTCGGGTAATGAAAACGCGTTAAGAACTTGGCAATGTTTACTCTTGAATCGCCTACACGAAAATAATTCAGATAAGCTAAGACTAATCTGCTTCTTTTGGAGGTTCTTAATGTGATCTGTACAAGCTACATTTGATCAGCAACAGACTTCTCAACAAATAAGTCAATAAATTTTATCCATGGATGGTGATATTAGCAAAATATCAAAAGATGAAATTTGGGTATATTCAAGACCTTTGGTTGGATGAGAGTTGGGTCAATAGATAAGTGTTTAGTTTATTCTTCGCTTATAAAGAGACTAGGAAACGAAATAATCGGGATGTGTTTTGCTCCGAATAGACATATGACAAATCGAAGTAGTGAAATAGTGTTGGTCATCATTATATTGACTTAAGTTTGTGGTTATTAAACATGAATTGCAATGCAGCTTCTCTTTCTCTCGTCAGATACCGAGCCGTCGTTCATCCTTGGAAGCCGCGTTTCACGTCATTCCAAACATCTGTAATAATTGTAGTCACGTGGTCAGTGTCATTCATGCTCGTGCTACCATACGCGCTGGTACTAAAAATTCAAAATGGCTATTGTGCAGAAGACTGGCCTCATCCAGTGGCTGTAAAGGCATACACTGTAGGTTTGTTTATCTTCCAATATGCCCTGCCGCTTCTCATAATAACTTTCGCCTATACGATGGTGGGGAGGAAACTGCGTCACCAAGCTGCGCGCATTGCAAGGAATCGTTACGCAAGTGGCGTCCTCGTGGTAGGTTACAGTTCGATGAAGAGTAATTGTCAGCAGAACGCGATGAGTGAAGTTTATTCCGTATCGTCTCCTAGCGTAGCACGTGTTTTTGAATTTAAAAACACGTTCAGTGATCCTGCAAAACGAGAGCTGGTTCCGCTAAAGTTTGAGAAGACGCCATGCGACAAAAAGGAAATGAAAAGGCTGGAACGCAACACGAAGATCATGAAGATGCTGGTGATGGTTGTTCTACTGTATGCCATATGTCTCTTGCCCAATCAAGTGGTTTGGCTGTGGTATGAGTTTGGAAACTTACAGACCTGGCCACACTTCAGCAAGCTCCTGACTTTTGGCAGTATTATGGTATATATCAACAGCTGTGTGAATCCATTGTTGTATGCTGGCATGAATGAAGACTTCAGGAAAGGTTTCTGCAGGATTCTGCGCTGCAGATGGAAGCCTCCCTTTATGACACGAGTATGAGAGTTTTCTAGAACTCCTGCTCAGAAAAGTCGACGATAAAACTGAGAAGATAAATTTCTGATTTAAAGAAGCCTTTCAAAGCTCAGAAGCACTAGTTTGCTATCAAGCTTAGAAAAGTTCTTAATTAATCTACGTCGTGAGTTCTGTTTTCAAATGAAAGTGTTATTGTTTTAAGGCTTAATATCTCCTTTCAGAATCTTCAGAGGGGGATGGGTTACATCTCAGGTTTTTGAAGATATCTCAAGATCAGAGTATCGTTGGTTAATTCGAAATGTACGTAATGGGCTATGCTTGTTTAATACACTATTAGAAAATATTTTCCCTTCTCTCAAATGCTAAATCTGATTTTTTTTTACAACTCGTAATCCAAAATGCGATTAGAATTTTACGTTTTTTCTCTTTTGGGTGTGTTGTAAATTCGGAAATACAAAACTAAACGATGCCAATAATTCTAACAAAATAACGAAGTAATTCTTTATAAATTATTAAGTGTTTAGGTTGGTGGAGCTCTTTTATACCTATGATCGGCGAGGGCACCATGCCTGTCAAGAGCTTGAGCACTATGTTATAATTATTACGGAAAAGTAATTGATAAAATATAGATGTTATGCTCGATCAAATTGGCGTAAAATAATAAATGTGAAAAAATAAAAGAATAATCTTGTCCAATGGCGAATCAGTTGTGCCCTTTTATAGATTGAAATGTAAGAAATTGTAAAAATGTTTCTAGAGGTCGAAGATCTTTGTACAAATAGTTTATAATATCAGTAATTTCAAAAACAATAATGAAATAAAAAGGTTAATTGTGATTGATTAAAAGCTTTACTATGATTTATGAAATGTAAGTATTATTTTCTGTGTCATAAAACATGATATTCTCCTTGCACACAGTGAACCAACTATTAAATCTTTCACACATGAAGATTGCCATTTGTTTTTGGTTACCAGCTTTATTAACATTGGGTACCTACTTTTCACGGGAGCTTTATTTTAAACTTAGGTTTAATTTAACTTTTTCTTCACATTGCTGAGAAGTGAGTCAACGAGTAGGTAAATAACCATTAGATTCTGTGATATCGAAAGACATTTTAAAACTGTCTCTTTCTTATAGAACTGTCTCTTCTATTTATCTATGGTAAACAGAACATATGCGTGTCCTCTTGTGGATGCGAATTTTTCTCCTCGTGATGATAATGGCTAAATTCGTATTTGCAAACGGCTATTTAATCATTATAACACTATTTTACCATTTCTCAGTTTCCATTCGAACCTTACTTTATTACAATCCCAAGCAAACCCAATTAAAACTATGGACGAATCTTACTTTCATTAAAATATGTATTACCTACCCAATCTACTGTTTTCAAAACAGTTCAAGACAAATAATTTTTCTGTCTTGAATATACAGCATGATGTAGATTTTACTCTTCCTCTTTGTAGTTGTTGGGGCTTTAGAAGATGTCGCTGTTACTTTATTGTCGTAGAAAAGCTTGTTTTACACTGACCCTTGGAATTCTTATCGCATTCTTTCTTTTAATGTTTCATTTCACCTTTTCCTCAAGCGCTCAAATTTGTTTTATCGTTACCATCAGGGTATTTATCAGCTCCACTATAAGAATCTTTTCTTGCATGTCATTTGCATTTTTTATTATCTTTTTCCTCGCGTAAAGAGCATCTTTGCTGTTCGTGTTCATACAAAATATTAGGGAAGGTGTAATGTAAAAGGCAAAAATTCAGCTTCTACCGGCTTACAATCAGCCTTACATTTTGATGCAAATAGTTTCACTCACTAAGTTGATTGATACATTATGGGAAAATTGAGCAACAGAAGATATTGAGGCGCAGCCGCAGTGCTTGCAGCTGTGAAAATATTTTCAGCTGTTACTTAGTGCGAAATATTGATTTATTTTAACCATGAAGGAAACCTCAGAATATTAATTTGGCATGTTAAAAAAAGGTCATCGAAATGAAGTAAATTTACTTTAACCAAAAGGAGCGAGGATGTTTACGGTTGGAAGAGATTCACACAGATTTTGCACGACAAATATAGCCGAAGTTTTAAGGATACCTGCATCGAGAGGTAACTTCAACACTCATTTATGTAACGCTTAATTTAACCACCGAACTAAAATGTTTGACGCTGCTCTCTCCATTGGCATTTTATAATTCTTATGAATCCCTTTCTAAATTCTTCGTTCATACCAGCGTAGAGTAAAGGATTAACAGAACTGTTGATGTATACCATAAGGCTTCCAAATATAAGTAACTCTTGAAAATGAGGCCAGCTTTCACCAGATCCAAACTCCAACCATAACCAAGCAACTTGATTTGGTAAAAGACAAATCGCGTAAGAGAGGACTACGGAAACAAGCATCTTTACAATTTTAGTGTTGTGCTCGAGTCGTTTTGCTTCTTTCATTCTGCAAGCTCGGGATGTTGTCGGAAACTGCTGCTTCTTCCTTGTTGGAAGTGGGGAGGCAATATCGTGCATCTGGATTTCTAATTTCTTATGACCAAGATGATGTGTTTTATTGAGATTCCCATTCCTAAATTTCTTCCTCTCTGGAACAGGAGAAGACAACGAGATTGCATCACTTATGTTGGGGGCGAGGCTATTGCCAGCATTCCAGTTTTCCTCTGGCAACGATGGAGATGCTGGCCTCTTTGAAATTTCATGGTAGCTCGCCATTCGTTCCGATTGTTCTCGAAGCTTGAGAACTATTTTGACATATGCAAACGCAATGATTGTGAGAGGTAAAGCATACTGGAATACAAACAGTCCCACAGTGTAGATTTTTTGTGTGGCGTTACTGGGCCATTCTTCGTCGCAGCTTTTATCGATTACCTTCAAAGCTAACATGTATGGCAGCACAAGCAATAACGACACCACCCAGATTGCCCCAATGATGAAACCAGTTTGTCGAGTTGTGAGACGAGCTTTTGTCGGTCGGACTATTGCGCGATACCTTAGATGGAAAATGGAAGTATTATTGAGAATTTACCCACTTTGCTCCATGATTCTGAACAAAAAATTCAAAAGGTATATAATTTGACGAAGTGTTAATGAAAGAAATAACTGAAAAAAGATTGAATTACGATAGTGCGTAAGGACCGTAAGGGCCTTAATATCTCTTTTTTTTTTGGACTCAGATGTTTCTTAAATGCAGACCTTACCTTTTCTAAACATAACTGTGCTATGTGACACGTGAAAATTAAAAAACAACAACAACAACAAAATGCGATCTGCACAGAAAAAAAATCTCACGAGAATCTGCACTTGAATAGATGACAAAATGTATCATGAACCACACGGTTCTTATATAACATTTCTCTCAAGACATTTGTTTTTGCTCATGAAAATAGAGGAGTATTCAAAAGGATGTAAAAACTGATAATTATTTGTAATTAGGCCAGACTCTTACCTGTCAAAGCTGATTACTGCAAGTGTAACTGCAGAGGAATTGGTTACAAGTGTCATAGAAGGCCACAATAACTTGCACATCGCGGCACCAAGCGGCCAGTTGGGTGCTGTAATCTTGAGCACCAAGTCGAACGGTATACATAATAGGGCTACCGTTAGATCTGATACCGCCAGATTAACAAGGAGGAAATTTCGTGTTGTGCGCATGCGTTTTGTTCCCAACACCACCAAACAGACCAAAATATTTCCTATGGTACTAACTGCAAATATTATGGCAAACAGAGTGTACTGAAGAATGTCCAACCATGAAGCCTCATTCGGAACTGTATCGTTCGTTGAATTGGTACTGATATTTGCCACGGAAGTCCCGCTGAACATTGCAAGAGAATTTAACGAAGAGTAATACGCTGATAACTTAAATGTATGCTCTGTTACGCTGTGTTCTTTTCAACTTGGAGGAAGATAAGAGGTCGTCAAATGAGATTGTGATAATTCAACCTGAATACATGAGAAGATAAGGTTAAGAATTGCGTAAATTTCAACCCTCGATACTTTGACTAACATCGATATACAACAACCATTAAATAATAATGCTGGTATCAAAAAATGTTTTGAAGTTCTTGAAATCATGAAAATGATGCTAATTTCAACAAGAATTTCTCCTTTGTGAAAAAATGACGTCTTCAACGCCCCGAAGAGAACGTACTATTTATAACTTCACTCGTAAAGATAATAATGTCGTAATGGTAGCCAGGTTTATTATCTTGGCAGTTTTATTTTTGATGAATGTTTTTAAACTTACTAATGGTTGACTCAAACCATTTTTGAGAGGGAACTACTATGGGCTGAGCTTATGGGCGAGTGATCTCTGCATTAGGTGCTCTTAAAACAGGTTTTAGATTTTCTTTGATTTTGAGGAAAATTGCATTTTCGCTTGAGGATACGAAGTAATCTTCTCGAAGAAAATAGTTTATCTCAATAATAAACGAAACGAACGAGAGAGAGAAATTATCAACTCTCTAAGTTTATGGCGGCCATGTACGAGTTATATCCTGTATATTTTATTATCCTTATTTGATTATCTTTTAAGTATTTTTACTCCCCAACTTTGTAATATTTTATTCTTCGCAAAACTGTGAAAAAGAATTCCATTTGATCAAAGTGACCATTTACTGATTATCATGAGATACGATGATAGGGTTTGAGTATGTGAGTGATATAATCCTCTTCATAATTCACTTTTTCTATTACTTATAGAGGACCATTAATTCATATTTCTCATTCTCGTTTCGTCTGAGACGTTTTGTCTAAGATGATGCATTCTACCTTGGATACAATTTCATATAAAACTTAAAAGATTTTACCTTGGAGTGGTTTTTTTTCTTTTCAAGAATACATGGAAGGAACGTCGAGTCCACTCTGATACAAGTCCGTCAATATCAATATGTTAATAATGAGACAGACAATAACTATATATAGACATTCTCGTCTCGTCAAACATCACACATAATGCCAGAAATCGCAATGAACGCCAGCGACAGCGAAAATATCAATTAGCAGAAACATTTCTTTCACACCGTGATCAGAAAATTACTAATAACCAAGTGCCTACGAATCATGTCGCCATGAGTAGGATTAGCGTTCCACGATAGAAAAATATGATAAAGGTAGTTTGGCGAGAAAAAAACCAGACAAAGAAATAAAGCCTATGGTTGCGTGTTTGAACGCAAAATGCAAGCAAGCAATTATTCCTTTTTTGAAATCATTTTCTTGTTACTACAGTAAACACGCATTAACGATTCTCAATTATAATGAGGTAAGAACGAAAGTCCATCTTTGTTTGTGCTAATGACATCTTCGAAAAAACAAAAAGGTTTTTTGTTTATTTTTATTAAAGCCTGCCGGTTAGCTCAGCTTATTATGAATGATAGAAGAACTATGGACATTATACAAACCCATTGTTGTAAAAGCGCTGAGTAACAAGGCTTATCGGTGACAATACATGGTATTTGAATAATTATGTCAATAGATACCTTTTTGAAGCTTTTCCGTGCAATTTCTTTGATTAGTTATACGAATTTCACCTGCAGTTCACGATATATTTGAACGAGACCTAAGTGTAAAGTTACAAAGTCACGCTCAGCATCTACACGATTAATGTTACCATAGTAGCTTCTTGTTTATGCTTTGAAAATAAACCAGTTATAAGCGCAGTTTTGTTCAAGCACGTTCTCCATGAGTGGAAGTGAAAAATAGTTCTCCAAATCTCCAGCATAAAACTGATCAATTCCGATTAACCTTAATAAACTTGATTTTTGATCGATGAGCGTCAAGCAGTCGAAGTTTGTGGTAATTATGATATTTTACTCGAATTTTCGTCATGGCAAGTTCCTGGCTAACTTGTACCAGTAAGACGGTCGACTGACTGAGAGGGAATTCATTACGTATGAAAATTTATCAGACATTTTCTTCTTTTTGTAAAACCAACAACATGGCATATCGCTTTACCAATTCAAACCTCGTCACTACCTTCAGAAATGTAGCGGGGAACGAATCAAACAATTGGGAATCTGGTAATCTTTGAATATCTGAACTCTCATAACAGTGTTATGATGGGAGCAATGGCTGCACATATTTAACATTATTGCATACATCTATGTCTGAAATTTTCGAACAAACAGTTACTAATTCAATAACCTGAAAGGAGATACGTTGAATTTTCTAGCATGAAAAGGTCTTTTGTTCGTCCAAATTGCGTCTGCTCGGTCGATATAAGAGGAATTTTAAGTCAATTTTGGGCGAAAGGCTAAACGCGGTGGTGAAACAGAATTGCTGTCTGTCCTAAAACTATCTGTGCAATAATGTGAGGAGAAGTGCTTGTGATTTGAAAAAATATATCATGATTTTACTCTCCTCTTGGATCTAGTTCCAGCATAAAAGAAAATAAGTGAATTTTGAAATTAATTTAGGCTCTCTCGCCTGAATTAAACGCGCGACAGTTCTACAAAGTACCTCGCTCGAGGCACCAATTACGAAGCTTTCACTGCTAATTTGAAAGCACATGAAACGAAAGTGGCAAGATAAGCGTATCTTTGTTTAGCCAAATGGGTGGGCGTGCAAAGATAAAATATAGTTTAACTTTTTATTTTGGTTCTGTTTTTACCACCCTCGCTGAATTCAGCGGTGTTTAACATACCATCAGTCGGTTTCTTATCTGTTCAAACTCATTACTGACTCAACATGCCCACTGATTTAACAAACAGAATTGGTAATGCTAGTTGTTCCGCTGATGATGATGCCAGCAGTTCAGTTGCCACCTTTCGCTCGCGTGTTTGAAACCACTGTGGAACTTGGCTGAACCATTGTGTTTCCTTTTACTCAGACTGCATAACACCCGTACCACAACACTAACAAACGTTAGCGGCGGCAACTTTGCACAGAATACTTTTACTCACCTAACACGCTGTCGCTATCGTAAAAAAAACGAGGCCCTTGGCAATCCGTAAGAAATGCTGGTTCAACATCAATCAAGGAGCGCTTTCATCTGTTGACGTCTGAAATGCCGAACAGCGCTGGCACAAATGTCATTTGCAAACCGAGACAAAGGATTTACTTTTAATAGTGCGTCAGATTTTAATTCCTTTCGTGACAGCGTTTGAAACATTTATCAGCTTTAGACACAGATAACAAAAATTGAGAATATATAAACTTTTGATCCTAATAGCATACGAAGACAAACTTTTCAGCCGTATCATTAAACTGTCATACAACTTTCACATTTCCATCTAATAAATGATCTAAAAAAGCTCGAAAGGGTTGAAAAGTCGACAAATTCGAAGTAACGAATATATTAAAATTCATTTTACTTTTTAATTTGCCCTTAGAAATATTAAAAGGATTGTTTGTTGTACCATAAAATATTGATAATCCAAGAGAAAAAAAAAGCCTTGGGGTTGAATTCGACTAAGTATTAGAACATTTTTTTTCGTATATCTCTGATCATCAATATTATTTTGTGGTATATTTGAATTATGGGAGACTTACACTGAAAAGACTAAGCTGAAATGTGCAACGCATCCAAAAGAATAATTTGATCTGAATAGAAAAGTATAATCCGGGCTTTCCGCATCATAAAAACTAAGGTTTACTGATTTACATGAAATTCAGTCATCCTTATAATCTGCAGATCAGCAAGACTTATGGATTTCGAATTTAGCACTACAATTTCTTGTATCTCTCATTTTGTTCATACTTGCCATTTTGCCTTTGTTATGAGGCAAGCTTTCCTCTTTAAAGGGGTGATAAATCAAAAGCGTGAAACTTTCCATTACCAGAAATGTTTTATAATTTCTGCTTGCTAGCCTTCGTCTCCAGCATTTTGGCTAGAAGGTGTGTTTTCTTAGTTCTTGTTTTTCTTTTTTTTCTTTGCTCATTAGCTTTAAAGGAAGGGCCTTCAGGCGAGACGCTGAGCTTTTCAGGTGCAGAAATAAAATCGAGTTTTATTTTAATTACGAAGACGAAGTCAAGGGGATTACTGTTATCAAATCCTTATTTTCAGCCAGTTAAGAAGCTCATTTGACGAAAGTTATCTCGCCCAGGAGTACTTGGTTCACGGATATCTCAATTGGCTTGTTCCCACTGTGCAATACGTATTGATAATTGGTGCAACAGGCAGAATATTCTAGTGAAATTATTAAGGCGCGCACCGCGGCGAAGAATCGGGCGTTGATTGAAAATATCTGCACCCATTATCCGAAAACCCGGCTTTAAAATCTAAGGACCTTTAGAATGCATTTGTCAATGAGAATATATATTTAAAATATATATGAAAGGTGAAGGGGAATAGATAATCTTACCAAACAGGTGGCCACCGTAATAAGAACATGCTATCGCGCTTAAGGGCGTCTCTGAAAAGCCTTATTCTTTTTTTTTTTTTTTTTTTTTTCGAAGAATATGTTTCTAATGCCCAGGCTCAATTTTCTTGATTTTCTAGCGACTTTTTTATGTTAATAAATTATAATAAATTATATATAGTCAAATAAGACGGAAGGGGTCAAGAATAAGTTTTGACATCTTTAGGCAATACAAATTAAGCACAAATTTTTATTTTGGGGCGCCAGCTTCATTGGAAAAATAGAAAGAATTTGAAAAAAATTTTTGATAAAGGAATGTCTTCCACCGAATTTTTAAGTATTTTTTTCGAAATTAATGTGAAAAAGCATTTTTTTTACAAGAACTCAGCTTAATATATCATTAATTAAATTCATATTTTATCAAATAGCATATTAAAATTTACTCAAAATTTTGGTCTTAATATTCTGATTTAAGGATGGAAAGTAAGTATGGCTTATGCCATGCCTGAGTGTTTGCAACTTAAC